GAACACCCTCTCAGACTTTCAGTTGCGTGCACTACTAAAGAGACGCATTACCATGGACACCAAACAATGGTGTAGCTGTATTCAGGCACGTGCACACATAGACATCAAAGTGGGCTTGAGCCCCTGAACTTTTTCTTCCTCCAGAGAAAGTGCCCTTTTTATGGGGTGCATTTTTTCCATTTTTTTTCTCCAATAAATGAATATATATCTACTGCTGTTTGCGCACAGTTTCCCTTTCCAAAAATATATTGATTGAATACAAAACAAAAATATCAGGTCGGGAGATTCGACTGTGAAGGTCCGATGCTCTCTCTACCCTCCCTCCCTCCACCTCTCGCGCACAGCGGTGCGGACAGTCATCTGCAATCACATACAGGTAGCAGCACCTCCCACTTTACTGTCCCACTTTACTGTCCCATGTTATGCCGGCTTTTCTTGGCTTATTTTGAAGGTGAGTGGAGATGAACAAATGACTAAGCTGCCAGTGCCTGGCTAATTAGCTAATTAGCCACAAGACAAAAACAAATATAGTTAAAGTAGGGTACAGCTAATGGATAAGTTAGCTCAAGGTTTAGCTAAGGCAATTTATCATGGGCATACAGGCTAATAGGCCTACTGTACTTAAGGGGAGACACTAACGCTGCGTCCACACTACAGCTTCGACAGCTTCAAAAACAGTTTCCAACGTGTCTGCCCATTCACTTTGAATGGGGTGACGTCACGTTGCCTCGCTTTTCGCCGAACTGAATTGTGGGTAGCATAGCGGTCCGTCTCCGCCGGAGACGCCGGAGTAGCCAGCGCCAGCCGATCAAATCCCGTTTCTGAAAATCTGACAGCTCAAGCGCTAGCCAATCAAACCGCGTCTAAGCTGGGAGAGATATCCCGCCGTTGATTTCTATATTTCAAAAAAAGATGAAGGAGAAACTATTTATCGGCGTAGCAAATCACCCGGTTTTGTATGACCAGACCCTCTTCACCTACCGGGATACAAACCGGAAGAACCAGTCATGGAGGGGAGGTGGCAGAGACAGTGGGTGAAACTGGTAGGCTTTCGCCTGTTTGGGGAGTTTATATATATTGCTCGCATAAAATCCCCGGGGTTTTTTGCTTTGTATGTCGGGGGCGGGAGATTCATGTGATTGGTTGTTGGTCGCGTTGCTCGAATAAAATCCCCAAGCTTCAGACACGCCCAGCTCCAAGCTTTTTTTGAAGCTGTAGTGTGGACGCTCCGTAAAGGTGAATACAGTACAATGTGTAGCTAATAACGTCATCACAATCGCCACATTGATATGCAAATTAGGCGTAATGCCTACATTTGCATGCAGTTACCAAGGCATTGCAGGTGAAAAGGATAAAAAAACATAGCACTTCACAACTTCCCCAGATAGTTACTTACGTCAAGTCAGTATTTTCCCCGGAAATGTTATGTTTAAATGCAGATTAGCTTTATATCTATAGATGAATTCAGACATAACAATCTTTTTGCCTGTAATGTCCTTAAACAGTAGCTTCATAATTTTGATTGTTGTCTGCTCTTGTGCGTAATTGTTACAACCCCCTCCACTCCACTACGGGTCAATAGGCACATTCACACCGCAGTACTTTTCCCACGAACTGAACTGAACTGAACATGAACTGCCTCCGACTCCCATTCATCGGCTCTACAATATCTAGGCTACTGCTGTTTGCGCACAGTTTCTGTTAGCAGATTTAGACTTAAACCTTTTGTCTGCTGCAGCAGAAAGGTGAATAATCTTAGCAGTTCAAGTTTAGCCATTCATCACGGCGTTATTTATTATATGCACACATCTCAAGAGGCTTGAGGACAGAGAGAGAAGGGGCGTGACTTCCAACGGTCTTATACCCCAAGTAGTGACATCACAATCATGTGGTACAGCCCTAACCAATGAACACAGTTAGTAGTCGCAGCTACTTACATAAACAATATATGGTACACAGTAATACATGGAGTCATACACTATACATGTCTGTATGTTATATCTCAACAGTTTCCCTTTCCAAAAATATATTGATTGAAAACAAAATATCAGGTCGGGAGATTAGACTGTGAAGTTCCGTAGCTCTCCCTCCCTCCACGTCTCCTGCACAGCCGTGCGGACATCGGCAGTCACTTCAGACAGACAGGTAGCAGCACCTCCCACTTTACTGTCCCATGTTATATGCCGGCTTTTCTTGGCTAATTTTGAAGGTGAGTGGTGATGAACAAATTACTAAACTGCCAGTGCCTCGAGTTTACAGCTAATTAGCTAAAAGACAATAACAAATATAGTTAACTAAGGTAGGCTACTAGCTAATTGATAAGTTAGCTCAAGGCAGTTCAGTAAAGTTGGAGCGATATTGTCAGATTCGGATTTCATGGATCAATAACTCATGAACAAAACGTTATTCAGACACAAATTACGTCTCCTACGAACTGTGGTAAGGTTGACAACGAACTACAATCACATTTTGATTTAAAAAAAAGCCAAATGCGCCGTCCTCCGAGCTGGACACATTAGGCTTGTTTGAGACAAGCGAGACCTGCGCAGACCTGCGCAGTTCAGTGTTGCCAACTCCATAGTAAGGAAAGTAGCTATTGGCTGTCCGAAAAGTCACCAGAAGTCGCTAAATGGCGTCATCGCCTAATTTGCATATCATGTAATGGCGGCTGTCGGCAAAAAACGTTCCCAACCCTTCAAGGATCAAAACTTGAAACCACCGGAGTTCAATCCAGACGACAGTAGATCAGAAATGTCTTTGCCTTTTGAGTATGTTTTGGTGTTTTAACATGACAGTTTGGCATAGAAATCCCCCTTACAATAAAGGCAGTATGCCCGTGTGTCATCTCCAATAAATGGCTTCAACCATCCTTTATACTCAGGGTTTGATTCCCACTCCTTTCTGTATTTTTGAGAATACAATTTAGACTGTGCCATGATGTTTAGCTTGTCACAGAGAGGCACACACACAGTGGACGAGGTGATTGAGTGACTGAGGCTGTGTGAGTCAAAGCAAAGCAAAGGCAGTTATTTATTATAGTGTGAAAGTGAGTGAAGAAACATTTACATTCAACATTTAAATCCCGCTCAAAACCAGGACGGCTTGGCAGTTGGCGCATGCGCAATTCATTTGCAGTCTCGACGCGGGGGAGTGTGGTTGTCTCCTCTCTGCTCTGACTGCAGCAGCAGCTCTGCTGCGGCCAGGCAACTGTCAGTCTGAGCGCCTGTGAGTACTATGGGAGGGAGGCGGGGCTCACGGCAGCACCCGCGGCTCGTTAACTGCAGAACAATGTGAGTCTCCAAACACCAGGAAAGTCACTAATAACACCATTATAAATCGCTAGATTAGTCGTTAGTCGCTTTTGACACAAATAAGTCGCCGGAGGGTTTGGAAATCCGCCAAATTTAACGAGAACATCTACAAGTTGGCAACACTGGCGCAGTTGCGATCAACGTCTTGCTAGTGCGTTGCATGATGGTTAGTCATTTTGTCCGACTTGCTCTGGAGGCCCGCCGCCTACATGAGACGTTGAAATCTCGCGGGACAAAGAGGCCCGCAGCCTATTACATTGGTCTCTATCCGCAGCCGGAGAAGAAACGAGTGCTCAGGGACCGTCTGCAAAGTGCAACTCCGAAAAAAGAGAATACAATAATATTTAATCACTATTATACAGCTTATTACTACCAAACTCACCACACACATCAATAGTCTCCTGTGTGTCATACTACAGCAAGGAGTTTGGAAGAATATGCTTTTGAATAATTTTGGTGAATATTTATAATGTAAAATGTTGAATAAATATGGCATCATCTTCAATAACTTTACGATTATACAGTATATATCTACCAAACTCACTGCACACAGTAGGCTTGTTTGAGACGCGTTGCGGCTCGCCTCGAAAGTAGACGAGAATAGCCGATCGCAGCCGGGGGAGGTCTCAAAAAGCTCGCCTGAAGTCGGACAGCTCGGAATCGGCTTCGTGCACATGTGTTTAATCGTTAATGTCAGATATGTACTAAGTAAATACATTTGTTCCTGCTCAAGATTAGATTCAACTTTATTGTTATTGCACATATTACAGGTACTGAGACAACGAAATGCAGTTTAGCTTCTAACCAGGTGCAACAAGCAGTAAAGGGAAAAGTAATGTACACAATCTACAGAATAAAATATAGAATGAATTGAATGATGAATAAACAGTGAGGGGTATGAATACACTAGATATACACAGCGGCCTGTGAGTATGAACAGTGTGTATGAATATGCTAAGATATATAAAGTATGAAACGGTAAGCAGTGCAAGTATAGTATACAATATATAGATATTAATTTCATGATGATAAACATTGTGGAACAATGATGAAAAATGGGAATGGATGTGGCGACGTAAAACTGACACAAAACAACAACAAACTTTTGCCGAGCCAATTGGAGAGTTTCATCACCAGCACGTGGTAAAAACCACCAATGAGCGCTCAGCTCGAGATACCAGCGAGTCGTTTCCCATCAAGCATTTCGCTTCCGCAGCCCGTGGAGAGCAACTGCGCCGCCTCGCCACGCCTCGCTCTCAAGGCTGCGGGCGTCTTTGTCCCGCGAGATTTCAACGTCTCATGTAGGCGGGCCTCCAGAGCAAGTCGGACAAAATGACTAACCATCATGCAACTCACTAGCAAGACGTTGATCGCAACTGCGCAGGTCTCGCTTGTCTCACACAAGCCTAATGTCTCCTGTTGGTTATACTACAACAGAGAGTTCGGAAGAATATGCTTTTAAATAATGTTGGTGAATATTTATAATGTAAAATGTTGAATAAATATGGCATCATCTTCAATAACTTTACTATTGTACAGTATATTTATTCCAAACTCTCTGCTGTAGTATGGCCACCTCACCAGGAGACTGGGGGCTTGCTTGGTTTATTTAATCTTTCCGTTCCACACTCCACTGCAGCAGGTGGCGGTACTGCACCTTTAACGCTGGTCACAGCCTCAGCCGTAAAAAGAGGAAGAAGTGGAGGTATGTTGTTGATGCATCTGACAGCTTTTCAGCATTATCGAGTATACGATCAGGTAGATCTTCATTTAGAATGGATATAATAAATGAAATATTTCTAATTTAATGTCAAATGCAAATCAAAGGCATAGCAACTCGTTTCACCTGGGTTCCTGCTCATGTTGGCGTGGAGGGTAATGAACAGGTGGATATTCTGGCCAAACAAACACTCAGAATTATGAACATAGACATAGAAGTGCCACTTAGCAAAGCGGAGGTTAAAACATGCATACAGAAATATGCACAAACAACATGGCAAGAACATCGGGACCTTAATGACACAGGAAGACATCTTTATACAATTCAAAGGTATGTGGGGGATGGAAGGAAGGTGGGGTTTAAAAGAAGGGAGGAAAATGTCATTTCTCGGATAGGTCATACAGGGTGTCAGACAGCTATCATACTGAATAAATATTTACTGTGAATGTATGCAAAAATGTATGGCATATGGCTGTCTAACAGAAGTTAAATTAATTCCTCACTTATTCTGACAATGTACTTAACCCCAAATAAAATAACCCAATAAAAAGAGTTGTTAAATAATAGTGAAGTCACGTTGTAATAAAAATAACTCGTATCTCTCGAGTTTTCTTTTTGAGCTTTGCTAAAAGCCACTGTGTCAAGTGTCCATCTTGGGTTGCCGTCCGGAGTTGTCCAATATGGCGGACCATCTCGCACATGCGCAGTACCGGGGGACGGATCGGGTAGTTCTTATTATACATCCATGGTAGTGACACAGGGCTCAATCATACATTAAGTATAATAGGAAAGCATCCAACCGGAAAGTGTATACACTGTAGCCAGCCAGAAACTGTTGAGCATGTTTTACTGCTTTGCAGGAAATATAGTAGGCCTACTCAGAAAAATGTGCTTTTCCAGACACTGAAGAAAGCAAAATGCCATGACTTGTCGCTATCAGGGCTGTTAGGGAAAACATCAGGCAATATATTGTGAGATTATTACGTTTCTAAGAGAAATTGATACATTTAAAATAATCTAGAGTTTTGGTTCTTTATTTTATTTATTTTGTTTATTGTTTTCTGCATAGTCTCTTGTCCAGTCCAGTTGGTGGCGGTAATGCACCTACAAGTTGGTTTGCCAACCGCCACTAAAGAAGAAGAAGAAGAAGAAGAAGAAGAAGAAGAAGAAGAAGAAGAAGAAGAAGAAGAAGAAGAAGAAGAAGAAGAAGAAGGTATGTTGTTGAACGTAACTTCCACTCGTCTGCTGGAGTCACCGGGGCTTCTCTTACTCCGCCGCACACACACTCCCTTCTCTGAACAGGTATCCGCCGCACACACTCCCTTCTCCTGTTCCACGGCTACATGCTAACTCATAAACTCTGTAGCACTACCGCTAGCCTCTGCTCGCTGCTTCATTTCATTAAGAAGCGTTAGCGCTGATTTGTTTCACAGTCTTCAAACATGTCTAAAGGCAACCTTCCAACGGACAAGACAATACGTTCACAGTAAAGTTAGTAAGTGAACTATTTCAAAGCATCTAATGTTAACTTAGCTAGGTAGCTAACACTGTTTAAGTGATGTTTTTGCGTTTGAATGGCTGACAAAAGGTTTGTTTCTTAAACTAACGCTAGAAGGACCTATAGCTCGGAAGTTGACGTAGCAAGGTTAGCATGTCTCAGTCTGCAGAGGTGTGCAGGTTGTAAGCAGAATGTCCACAGAGGGGACACATACATAGTTACAGCAAAAGTGAAGATGTAGACAACATTTAAAAAACCACTTTTAGATTAAAGGGAATGCACACATTATACGATTAAAAATATAAAATAAGTCACATTCGAAGTAGATTCTAATAATTTACAAATTGCACATAAGTGTTATTGCACAACAGTGTTGTCGTAGTCTTAAATTGTGTGAGTGGGGGGGGGGGGGGTCTACCAGGGGCATGCTGGTTGTAAAGGCTGCAGGGAGAAAGACATGTTGCCCACTGAAACATCCTGCTGTGGAGGTACGTACTCTGCAGGGATGTGTTAATCAGGGGCCAGTGTGAGAAAAAGTTTTTAGAGAGTACTTGTCCATGGACAAGTGAGTTTGGCAATTTACTTGTCCGAATACATTTTTCACTTGTCCAGAATGGACAAAAATTGGGGCCACTGGAATCTTCTTCTTCGCCATCATATTTTACATTTTCCCACGGTTTTTACGACACCGCTAACGTAAGTGAGCGGTAACATTTTACTGCATCACACATAGGGTTGGGTATCGTTTGGATTTTAACGATTCCGGTTCTGCTTTTCGATTCCGGTTATTTTCGGTTCTCGATTCCGGTTCTTTGAGAGGTCAAAGTCAAACTGGGAGACAAATATATTTATGAAAACATTAAGTCAAATCTGTATTCCTATTTACAAATAACTTCATACTGTTTAATTTCTTACGGTTATTGAATACAATTATATAAAAAGAATCTCTGCATTGTTTAGTTAGTTCTAAGTGGTGCAGTTTGAGAATGTACAATTGGCCCAGTCTCCTCTGATGTTACACTGCAACCTGCCTGTGAGACAGAGTCCAACCACACATGTCCAACACATAGGACATAACCTAATAATAATAATAATAATAATAATGACACATTAGATGTATAGCCTATAGGCCTAGCGCTTTTCTACAACTCAAAGACGCTTGCATGCTTACACATGTCCTGCAATACATATGCTGCAGCTGCCCAGCTGCTCACTGTTTGTAAAAGTAAATACATAGTATTTTCATTTCAATAATGTAGATACTTTCTATACCTTGCTTCATAAACAATACTGACATCCCTGTGCTCCTCCGAGTCTGGGGGTCCGGGGATGTGAGGACAGCGCGAGGACACAGACAGGGAGGCTGCTTTACTTCATAAAGGAAATGGCGGTCAATATTAACAACACAGGAGCTAAAACGCTTAATAACCTTCATTACGTGTTAGAGAAAGAACATAAGAAAGTTTGACAAAGATGAGGCTGTTAAACGGGCAGCGGAGCTGCTGTGTGTAGAAAGAGAGAGAGAGAGAGAGAGAGATGCTGAGCTGCACCGTGCAGTGATCAGCTGATACGGAGCATAGAGAGAGAGCTACGGGCAGCGGAGCCGCTGTGTGTAGAAAGAGAGAGAGAGAGAGAGAGAGAGAGAGAGAGAGATGCTGAGCTGCACCATGCAGCGATCAGCTGATACGGAGCATAGAGAGAGAGCTGCGGTCCGCGGGGATCGGCCTCGCCTCTTGTCCTCACAACTCTTATTAATCCCGATACCGGACAATTGTTATTTGTTCCTACTCGGAACCGAGTTTTGCTTCCCAACCCTGCCACTGTGCTACACTTCCCGTCCCGCCCCCGTCTAATTGTACAGAAAGCGGCGAGATGCATTTCCTTAGGAATCGACAAGCAGAACCGAAACTAACATTTCTAAACGAACAATGGCGGACACGTACAATTTGCGAATGAGTTCTGCCTTTTGTAAATTGAATGTATCAATAATTTGTCAATAAATCAGGGCGAAAAACGTCACTTGTCCGCCGGACAAGTCAATTGAAAGATCTACTTGTCCGATATTGTAAATAACACGTCCCGGACGGTGGGACGTGTACTTTTTCGCACACTGGGGGCGGATCTACCGGGGTGGCATGGGGTGGCAACTGCCACCCTAAACAATAGCCTTGCCACCCCAGCTGCCACCCCAGTTGGCATCTTTGTTTTGAAAGAAAAGTTGTGGCTCATTGGACATTTATGAGAGAAAGTCTCTAATGTCCGAGTGCAAGTGAATGCAGCACAAGATGCACGTCATGTAACCCCTCCCCCGGTCCTGGCGCGAGAGTGGAAATATGATTAGGCGCATTCACACTGCGGTACTTTTCCCACAAAGGTTCATGTGAACTTAGTTCATGAGAACTCTTTAGTTCGCATGAACTAAGTACAGATCGCGTTCACACTGGAATAAGTCCCTGGGGGTGGATTAGGCAAATGAAGCCGCTGACGTCACTTGTTCTTCTTCTGCTTTGGGTTTACTGGCAGGCCGCAAACCACTTCACGGCGTATACTGCCGCCCAAAGTCCCCGGCCGGAAGTCCCCGGAGTTGGGGACTGGCTTCAGTAGAAGCTGCTGGGAGTCCCAGCAGCTTCTACTGAAGCCTTCCGAGTAAATCGCCAGAACGCCGACACCTCCTCATCTCCACCGCTCCCATGTTTTATTTTGTGTTGCCATATGGTAGTCTCTCTGCGTTTCTGCGCTGGGCTAATGCTAATGCGAGGATAATAAAATGGCGGCTTCACAACACTTTTTGGGAGTTTTACGGGGCGTGGTTTGCAATCCGCCCAGCCAATCAGAAATATAGCTCTTTTCTCACAAGAGAGCCGCACGAAAGTCCCTGCTCTCTAGCAGGGACTTTCGTGGGGGTAAAAAGGTTCACATGAACTCATTTTAGTACCGGCTCTTTTTGGTGTGAATGCGATAAATAGGCGCATTCACACTGCGGTACTTTTCCCACAAAGGTTCATGTGAACTTGGTTCATGTGAACTCTTTAGTTTGCATGAACTAAGTACAGATCTCGTTCACACTGGAAAAAGTCCCTGGGGGTGGATTAGGCAAATTAAGCCGCTGACGTCACTTGTTCTTCTTCTGCTTTGGGTTTACTGGCAGGCCGCAAACCACTTCACGGCGTATACTGCCGCCCAAAGTCCCCGGCCGGAAGTCCCCGGAGTTGGGGACTGGCTTCAGTAGAAGCTGCTGGGACTCCCAGCAGCTTCTACTGAAGCCTTCCGAGTAAATCGCCAGAACGCCGACACCTCCTCATCTCCACCGCTCCCATGTTTTATTTTGTGTTGCCATAAGTTAGTCTCTCTGCGTTTCTGCGCTGGGCTAATGCTAATGCGAGGATAATAAAATGGCGGCTTCACAAAACTTTTTGGGAGTTTTACGGGGCGTGGTTTGCAATCCGCCCAGCCAATCAGACATATAGCTCTTTTCTCACAAGAGAGCCGCATGAAAGTCCCTGCTCTCTAGCAGCTCTCTGCTCTCTATCAGGGACTTTCGTGGGGGTAAAAAGGTTCACATGAACTAATTTTAGTACCGGCTCTTTTTGGTGTGAACGCGATAAAAGAGTTCACATGAACTAAGTTCACATGAACCTTTGTGGGAAAAGTACCGCAGTGTGAATGCGCCTATTGGTGGCGAATTCACTTGAACGGGGGGACGGCGCAAAACGAGAAGCATTCGGACCCAAGCACTGAAGGAATGAGGTAGTTGCGGTCTACAATGACAGAGAAGAGACTGTCAGTTTGGCTGTACTCAGCATTGAATCAAAACGCACTACAGCTGTTGATCTTAATAAGTTTGTGAGGCGTTTTGCTGAACAAAATAGTAATCGCCGCATTCAGCTGTAATAGACATGCCAACTTGATGCTCTGCTCACGGATGACTCGATGAGAATAACAAACTCTTAAGATGATGACCTTGTATGCGTGTATATATTTTTTTCTTTGAAGGGGTCTGCCCCCAAAAAACAGTTTTAAGTCCTGAGAAAGTAAAATAAGACGGTGTGTAAAACTTCACTGCCCAGCCAACAGAAAGTAACCACTTTGATTTAACTAGGCCAGTAGGTAAGGACCTTCCACTGGATAATAACTGCAGCGATGTTTTAGCTGAATACACGTTTTTTAACCCTAACTGATGCAGTTAGTCACTTCTTTAATGTTTGTTCTTTCTGATGTAAAGTCAAGGTTGTAACTGTATATCAATAATGATATAATTACTTGTTTTCAAATTTGAAGGAGGGCGAGCAAGCATCTTGATGAACATTCATCATTAACTCCTCCAAAAAATATAGTTTATTCAATAATAAATGAATATGTGAATCATAACAGTTCTTCACTATATCTGTAAAGCGTCTTTGAGCACCTGTAAAAACGCTAACAAATTAAATCTATTATTATTATTTATTAACAGTGATTGACAGCTGATAGGAATAATATGATTGTTAATAGTATCATATTCATTCAGACAAACATCGATGAGACAGTTAATTAATGTACTTATTGCAGCAGTCTGCATAGATTTGGTACCCCTGCTGGTCTAAGAGTGAGACAAATGTGCCACAATAATATCACCTTTGTGATTGAGTTAAAATATTAATATTGTGGCTTTCCAAGTTAACATTGATTGTAGGGGTGTAACGGTTCACAAACATTTCGGTTCGGTACGTACCTCG